TAAACTGAAGGTACGGCGGACGCCTTGATCGACTTAAGCAATACTAAACTTCTGCCCCAAAATCACATTGTTAAAACAAATGTTGTGGACACAAAGATAGCCCTCGATAAGCACTGAGCACACTGACTATGTCGATTCCAATGATCTACCCATCATCTAATGGCAAATATTGTGGAAACTGGACGCATTGTGCGTTTGTTACGCACAGTACTTTCTTGCATAAAATGGGCATATGTCCTTAACAAGGAATATAGAGTGCATATTAAAAAATTTGATACTTAATGTACTTCTTTGAAGTATTGCTTCTTCTGTATATGATGATTGGTTATGTTTTAACTCTATCGTTGCAGACAAATGGGATCATCATTGTCGTGAAGTTGTCGCTGTACTTCGCATCAGTATTCCTGCGATGTGCTTCTTGCATAGCTGTATTGGAGCGAGAACTGTTTGGTCCCAACTCGCCTTTGAATAGGGCCACACAAACTGAATAATTTTTAGATACTGATGAGTCTTTGTGCTTCTGTGCGAATTATGTGCATGTTACTAATCCTACTACGGCGTTTTCTAATATTTAAAAGGTTTACATGTTTGGAAGTTATCGTACTGAACGAGAAAAAAACTTCGTCTTTGGTCGGGTAAAGTATTTCCGTGCACTGATGCCAGCTGTTTAGTGCCACTCCCCTTCGTATTTCAGCCTCCAATGTGCTACTTACGGCTATTTCCTTGTACATATAGTAGCGAAGACTGGGTGTGTGTGTGTAGTAGCGACACGATAAAATACATGTACCTGCAACTGTCACACTTGTTGCTCCCTGGTCTGGCTGTAGTATAAAATAAGGTGAATGATTGAACCAGCCAACCTAGTTATAGGTTGGTTGATTTTGTCATTCAATTTTTTCTACATGGCCACCCGGCTCGAGCAATTGCTTCAGCAACTCACAAGCTGAAGACTGTAGACGACGCAGGACATAGGATGAACACATGGTTCCTCAAGACCTGGAGCGTCAACCTGAATCATTAGTCAGGACCTAAACATATAGTCGAGTTTTTTGTACACAAGTAGTCAAGTTAGCATGAAACATTTATCTTAGTTCCTTGAAAGCAAACTCAGCATACAGTCTACTACATCTTATCAATGGTGTCAGTGATAATATAATGTCTTTTTGATGCGCGATGTCATATATACGTATGTCCTTCAAATCTTCACAAGTTGAGATTCAGAACTGAAATACAATCAGTCACCTGCCCCACAGACTACTGTAAATACGGCATTTATTCGAATGGTTTTGTGGTGCACTAATACAACACTTGACGCTTGAAATGTTTATTGACATGTACCTAGGCAGCATAATTTAAACTATTTGAGTACAGTATTTATCGACTAAGCTCACCTTTTTAATCTTAGAAAGATACTTTTGTTGTTGATTTTGTTAGGTTGTCGATCGATGAACGAAATTAAAATCGAAGTGTGCATAAACTGCATCAAAATCGGGGTTGACCAATCATGGAATACTTTGGAGCAGGATGTATAATGCATACAATTATCACTTGATATAGATCAGTAGATCTTGTAATTTAAATTTTTACATAATTCAAAGCACTGTATGTAAACCAAGGACCGATATATATATATATATATATATATATACATATATACATATATATAAACATGTAAATACGCATATAAATATATATATACATATATATAAACATGTAAATACGCATATATATATATATATATACACACACTCACACACACACATATATATATCAACAAAAAATGTACGTATATTTAAATGTAAATATAAATAAGAATATATAAACGTAAATATAAATAAGAATATATAAACATATATGTAGACATTTATAAACATCATATACCTAGACATATATATATATATAGAAATAAACATGTACACATAGCACAACTTTGTACATGTATAAATATGTAGATATAGATACAGATATAGATATAAATACACACACATGAATACATATATACATACAGATAGAAGGTATATATATATATACATATATATAAACATAAATAGTGTATTATATACATATATATATATATATGTATACACACACACATATATACATATCGATATATATATATATACATATATATATATATATATATATACATACATATATGTATATATATACATATGCATATATTTACACACATACCAATATTTTTATATACACATATAAATATGTATTTTACATAAACACACACACATATATGTATATATATATTTACAATACATATTTATATGTCACATACAAACACACATTTATATATATAGAGATAAACAACTAGACATATACACTTATATACGCAACATATATAAATATAACACAAATGCATAACATATATATATATATATATATATAAATATTTATAAGACACGTTTGTATATATAGATATAGATATATATAGATACACACACACACACACACATATATATATGTACATATACATAGATACATATATTCAGAACAAAAACACACACACACACACATATATATATTTACATATATGAACAGCATGTATACATAGATACATATAGATACACAGTAATATATAGAGATGCATAGTAATATATAGATACATAGTAATATATATATATACATTCATACATACATACATACAAACATACAATATAGATATATATATATAAATCTAAATAAATATATATATAATACATGATTATGTTAATGATAACAGCATAACCTATACACGCACCTACACCCTCACACTTATAGATATATACGTATAGATATGTAATATGGTATCATCATTAATATAATCTTCGCCCTCGTTGAATATATTTTTTAACTTTCCACCGATAAAAAAATGCAAGCGCAATTTATCCGCGACGTCAGAAGGGGAATGTTGAGAGCTAGGGTTCATTTCACTTTACGATTGGGGTGAAGGCAGGAACCAACACGGATTGTTCTGTACAAGAGCACTTAATCCGGTAGGCTTAACAGCTATTGTGATCAGATGAACGTATTACAATTGTGGTTTCAGTAGTAGTAGTTGCTATGAACAACACTGCTGCCATGCCGGGCGCGAGGGGGATATATGCTGTGTCACTGTAACATACCGATGAAAGTGAATCCGTAGTTATGTTAATAGCGCGATTTGTCAACAAACACTGAGTACTTGGTGAAGTAGCGATCTGATGTGCCCGTTGAGGTTGCCACAAGCTTGTGGTCGTAGCAACATACAAACTAAACACTAAATATTGCTAATCAATGAAATAAATCCATTCAATAGCACATGTACTGTTGTTGATTTATTAGAATTGGTACAACTATGTATAACGTTGCTGAGTATCGATGGCACAACCGCATATTATTGAAAAAGTTGTGTATTGACAAAGGCAGCCACGGGCACACCACTCAAAAACGGCGCAAATGATAGACAATACCAGAAAAACAGGCGTGTATGTGTTACACAACGAGAACTTTGAACTTGCAATATAGCAGGGATACAGCATATATTAGACAATTTAATGACTTCAAAATATGTTTATGGGCCGTCAAACCTTCTATAACAAGCTGTGAGTGCTGCGCAAGGTTGCACATATTCTATACACATTATCGAACATACCTTGGCGTATAGCTTTTGCGTATTGAAGTATGTGTCACATCCAAGTACCATTCTATTTGCGTTCGTGTATAAATACGTATATACTCATGTTCGATATAGACGCGAACGAGAAAAGATGTTATGTTATACCCAGTCGCATTTGTTCAAGTATTTACTTCCGAACTGGTGCGCTATTTAGCTCTACAAAGTTCAAATGCGTAGCCTACACTCCGGCTGAAAAAACCCAAAGATGGTGATATTTACATCAGTCAGTAGTGCAAGGTTAAGCGTCTGCTTTCAATTTGGTAGCAAGAATAGTAGAATACATCAATACAGCATACATCAATACAACATAGCCTTCTGAATAGTGAATTAGACACACATACAGTACACACTGATACAACCGTAAATACAACATATTTACATCAATACAACATAGCCTTCTGAATAGTGAATTAGAAATATTTACATACTTAAAATAGAAGTCCGTATTATTAGCGTCAACTGTCAACTGTCAAGTGCCTACTTCAGATCCAACTTCTCCACAAAAGTCGTCAACGTGAAACTGAGTTCGTGACCCAAAAAAGTCATCTGTGGATGTCGTAAACGATATTTAACATTCAGTCGTAATTGATCTCATTCATCATATACTCGCCTGAATTAGTTTCCATTAAAAACAAATACATACGTTGAAATTCGTCGTAAACGCTTTTACAGTTTTGAATTGTTGTCGTTGTTGTGGATAGATAATCTGATAATGCACCTAAACTAAATGAGGAAAAATCCGTTACCGTGGAGGTTGATACTTTTATTAGTAACTATTTTTAGACACTGTGCTTTATCTGAATTTCATTGGAGTAAAATGTGTGAATTTGTGAAACAAACCGAATGAAAAACTTTTTATATTGTTTGGAACGAATTTTTTTTTGGAATGTACACGTTAGCGTTAAACGTTTATATTGATTCATATTCAGCCCTGCGGTGCAAAGTTTTAGAGAATCTTTCCCTCTCTCCCGCTCTTCTCTCTCTCTTGTGAAGTTGTGTGTGTGAGTCTGTGAGAGTGAAAGGGTGTTCGTTTCAAAATTTGCACAACAACTTCTTGCACAAGAGAGGATCGATTTAATTTCTGTTCTTTGACCCGTATTTATATAAAACGTTTTGGTCCAAAAAGTTAGTTTTTGAAACTTAATAAAAAAGCGTTTACGCTCAACTTCTCCTATTTTAAAAAACCGGATTGAGAATACCCAACGGGACTCCATCTGGTCCTTCATTTCTTGGAGTCCACTCTCTCTCGCAGCAGAGGGACTGTATGTATGAGTTATGACTCGAGAGTCTCAGACTGTTTGTATTTTTATATGGGACAATAAATGTGAAATTGTGAATACTATTATGCTCTCAGTATCGAGTACAACTGTACCAGCCATCCGACAGCCGGTGAATGCAATAAGCACTAAATAGAAATCGTGTGTAGCGGCACTGATATGAACACCCGAGTTTATATATGTATTTAGAATTTACTAGTAGGCTATGTACTTCTAAATAGTCCGCAATTTATAGAGGGTATGGATCCAAGCGTATTTGCACAAACACAGAGCTCAAGGTGCATCTTTCGGTGATAGGATAGGTGTTAAAAGTATTGGGCAGACCGTCTCGATGGCTAGTTCTGAGGACGCGTATAAAGAAGAGTTGCACACAACCGGGTTTGATCTCGACACCCACTGCCCGACTGACGAAGACTACGTCGAGACTACCATCACAGTCCCCAACTTGTCCCTTAGGAGAAATAGCAACGGTAACAAACGCGACATCAAGATGAGCAATGTGCGACAAGTGATCAGGTGTTTAAAGCCCGTAGATTTATTAGTACTGACATATCTGGCGTTGACAATACCGTTAGTGGCGTACGCTCGGATATGGGGTGGCATAGTGGTACGTATACTACTTCTAGTAGGTGTTGTATACGGCAGATGGTATCTAGTCCAAACGCGGAATCAGACATCGTTCACTTTCAGGATCACAAATAGGTCTTTCCAGGTCTCAACACAACTTATAATAGGGTTTCTACTGGATATATATGGCCTGATCGCCTGCATATATATATACGGCGAGGATGGTAAGGTGATCGCTGCACTGTATCCTGATGCGGCAAAGGACTTTTATGATAACGAAATGAAGGCTATAGACGCTGGTCTATTCGGGAATGTCAAAGTAGAGGATGGCACGGGGTATTACTTAAGGTCACTGACAGGACAAACATTCAACCTTATATTTGGTGAGTGGTTGCACTTCTGCTACTTCTTCTACTACATCATCCTAGTAGGTACGTGGCTGATCGCTTGGGCATTCATTCAACACGAGCACTTTGACATAATCAGCACGGTGCAAGTTATGGTATATCTAGTGTGCCTAGTGTGTTATCTTGTCATACCTGTCGCGGGACCCTACTGGGCGTATCCGGATAAAAGACCCGAAGCCGAAGATGTTGGGTTTGTGTTCGCACGTGTTACGCACTTCCTGGTAGAGGGGGGTAGTAGTAGCGGTACAGCGTTTCCCTCGGGACACTGCAGTATGACCACAGCTGCACTGGTGCTGGCGCTTTTGTATATCAAACCATTGGGATTGGTCTATCTATTCACCAACCCGTCGCTTATCTTCGCGACAGTGTGGTGCGGGTTCCATTACTTCATCGACGCGTTTGTGGGTGTGCTAGTAGGTCTAATGTGCTGTGCCTTAGGTCATCTCATGGTTAGGGTAGTTGGCTACAACCTACCTGCGTACGATGATAGGTACTCGCAAGACTTTAGGGCAAGCAAGAGTGCTGGAGGCGCCTTTGACCGGACAAGGTATTCGGCTCTGGACGAGGATGAAGAGGTCGAAATGGATACGCCGACGGAAATGGAAGCGTAGAAATTATAATATACATACGTGTATGGTATGTGCAAATATTGAAAGTGGACGTGTACAGTTAGGCAACTTTAGTTTAGCGGCCGGGGATGCCTCACGCATTCGGATTCACCGGCATGGTACAGTATATACACGCGAGTCCAAGTGGAGATGTGTATCATGTGCTTCATACTTTGCTTGTGTGGATGAGAAGCGAAGTCTACGCTAGTTGCACCGACAGCATCAGAGAGTATGCACGAGCGGGTCTGAGTCATGATGTGTGCGGACTTTGTATACACACTGGTGCTGACGAGCAACGATATCAAAGAAAGTGTGGAGTGCTTCTATGGGGTGAAAGGGGAATCTAGTACTAGGCAGGAATGTGGGGGAAAATATCACTTACCGTTTTCACGGCGCATCTGCATAAACAGAATGCACAGATTGCCAGTCTATCGTTGATTTTATAGTCTTTTACGTATGTTGTCTGTTGGAATGAGCTGAGAAGACCGCAACATAAGTCTGTGGTGTCTGTTTCTAGAAGGTATATTATAAACATGAAATCTCGTTAATCAAGGGTTTATGCTGTCCCAATTAAACAAAAACCAGTGGATATAATGATCGTTCCATCCCACGATACACAAACACAAGCATGCATACATACTTGCATATAAACACGCACACACACATACACACCTATGTGCAAACAAAAAAACACACATTCACTCACTCACATACATTACATACACATACATACATACATACATATACACACACACACACACATATATATATTTG